GACAGTCACATGGCAGGGGTCTCACCAGAGGCTTTGGCAGGTCCAAGCTGGGCTTGGCTTCCCTGCAGGGTTTTTACCTCTGAAGTTATCACTTGAGTTACTGTCCTGAAAGGGAATTCCTGGCAGCCTTTTTACTGCGGCCGTTAACTTATAACCCTTATGTGACCAGTTTAATCTACCTGTTGTGAAATCAAGCCTTGCCATTTTTAATATAATTTAGGTTGAAGATTTTATACCAATAAAGAGTGAAGGCAGCGGTGTTGCTGCGTGTCTCTGTGTGGAAGGGGACAGTGGGGCAGGAGGGTGACAGCAGGCAGGGAGCTGCCTGGGGCTCAGGGTGGGTCTGGCAGGAGTGAAGCCAGCATGGAGAAGGGCTTGAGCTGAGCTCCCAAATCCTGTGCCAGAGCCACGGGGTCTGAACAGCAGCGCTTCCAGTAGCTGCGCAGAGCAAAGCCACCATGGTGGCTGCAGCGAGTCCCTGTGGCTCCCAGTCACCAAAAGAGGTCCCAGGCTGTCTCTGTGACTGAAGACTGTGACGCTCACCACCAGCTCAGCTCCCCCTCATCTTGCTCCAAGACAAGCATTTGTGCTTGCAGGCAGCATGGAATCATTTAGGTTGGAAAGACCTTAAAGATTGTCAAATCCAACCGTTAACCCAGTGACGTCAGGTCCACCACTAAACCTGAGCACCTCATCGACGGAGCTTTTAAACACTTACAGGGACACAGACCCCACCACTGCCCTGGGCAGCCTGTTCCAGTGCTTGGCAACTCCTTCTAATACCCAATGTAAACCTGCCCTGGTGTAACCTGAGGCCACTTCCTCTCCTCTCAGCTTGTGAACGTGTTGGTCCTGTGGAGCTCAACCGGGAAGGGCTGGCCAGGGACAGAAGGTGCGTGGGAAGCACTGCCTGCAGCAAAGGGGCTTCAAATCAGAGCACCTTGGCTGTTCTGCAACAGGGCAATTCAGTACTTTCCCACATGGTCACCAGCCCAGGTGTTCAAAAGACATGCAGATGTGGCACTTGGGGACACGGTTTAGTGGTCAAGGTGGTGTTGACAGTTGGACTTGATGATCTTCAAGGTCTTTTCCAGCAGGAGAGAGCTACAGCAGAAATATCTCTCTTCTGGAGGACTACTCCTGGCTCTGGGGAGATCTGTAATTTTTAGCAGGCTTATGCAAAGGGAAAAGGAACCTCTTTGCTCCTTCTCCCACCCTGCAGCCATGCAGGGCCCAGCCATGCCAGAGCTCTCCATAAGTACAGATGTGTCCTGTAGGCACTTAAAAGACTGGAAGGAAAAAAAGAAAAAAAAAGGAAAAGTTCCTGTGTGTTTCATAAACTGGCAGAGAAGCTTAATGCAATCTACTACCCTAAACAGAAAATGAAAGTATCTTAAAAAAACTGTTGAATCCTTTGTGAATTTTCTTAGTGGATCAGCATGAAGCTACACAGCCTAGATGTTTCTCCTACCCTGATGGATTAGGAGATGCACATCATTGTGGCAAAGTGTTAACATAGTGAACTATAACGTAAAACGTGTAAAAATACTGGCTTTCACAGTTATTAGAAGACTGCTCTGCTTCCTTATGCAGCTATATTTTCTTTGCATATGCACTTATATTTCAGCACGCATGAAAGAACAAACAAAACCTCCCCCATCAGAAACTAATCCTGTACATTCTCTGCAAGGACACGCAGGGGCCAATAAAGAATCGACGTGGAGTCTTTCAGAAGTGGAAATCTCATGTCCGACTGGCGACGAGCGGCAAATCTCACACTACAGCAACCGCAAGGCCAGCAGAAACAGAGCAGGAGATGCCACCCCTGGTGCTCCTCTGAGCACAAGTCTCTCTCCTCTGAGCCCAGGCTGCTCCCGGGGCTCCCGCTGTGGCAGTCACTGCAGCTAGGGACACGCAACTAGACGGTGCTGCTGCAGGGTGGGAGGCACAGGTGTCCCGCCTCCATGTGTCTACAGTGGCACCAGCCCTAGGACACATAAAGCCACCAAGGAAATGGTAACAAAATAATTTTATTCTGCTTTATCAAAAGAACTCAACACTCGGCATGTAAACCTGAACATATCGTATTGTGTTTCCTTAAATAAGGTGCAGATCCAGTGGCGGAACCCTTTAGTCACAGGACCACACAGGCCTTCTGAACAGAGACAAGAAAACAGTTCGGTTCCACTGCTTCGTGGTTGCATCCGTGTTTCTGCTCTGCAGCTCCCAGCTCAGAGATCCAAAGCCTAGACTGAGGGTGTTAAAGCCATGGTAACTCCCTCCTCTCCCACACCCACTCAGGCTGCTGGAGCAGTGGCCGAGGAAGCACGAGACGGACGGAGGAGGCTTTCACAGAAGGCACCGAGCATCGCACACATGTTGTTGCAGGACTTGGAACTGCAGGAGCATCCCCCAAGTGTCCCTCAGAGCACACAAGCAGGAGGCGGCTGATGCACACAAACCCCGTCACAGCAAGGTGACATTGAGCCAGAGTGATAGCTGCTAACGGCAAAGTCACCCGTCCACCTGGGCAGCTGCAGGGAGACCCAGCATGGCTGAGATCTAAGGGGAAGCAGTTCTTCCTGCACTGGTCTGGAAGGCTTTCTTGCTCCTGGCATGGAGATCTTGCTCTGATCACTGCAGGAGAGCTGCAAGCTGCCTGGTTATTGCTTCTAGTGGTTCCCCTTGTGCTCTTCTTTGTCATCTCTAGGCTGGAAGAACCTACCCTGTCCATCCAGCCTGATGTTCAGGGTTTGATGCCAGCACCAGGTAGCACCAAACCCCAGTGAGTACCACACGGAGACAGGTCTACACCTCCTCTAGGAGCGCTTTTGTTCCAAAAAGCCTGCCTTCATCTCAAAATTCAACCAAAGTGGCTGCTGCAAGCCAACACCACCGCCGTGGAGGATCAGAGAGATGCAACTGGCTCCTCAAAGCCCTTCCCACAAGAGAAATCGGACCCTGCAAGCCAAACGGTGCTTCCAGGAGACATTTCAAACAGCACAGCTACAAAATACACTGCCATCCCCTCTCTGCCGCCTGGGTGGGCTCCTTCCCTGCCACCAGCCATGGGTTGCAGCTCTGCGTGCTGGCTGAGCTGCCCACCAGCACAATACGCAGACATCCTTCCCGCTCCCCTGCTCACCAGCAGCCTGTGAAGGCTGCTCCGGTGCCAAGAGGGCACTGTTTGCCCAACACTTCAGCAGGTGAAGACAAACACCCTCCCTCTCCCTGAAAATGCTCAGCTTAATGCTCCCAAGGCTGGGACCTCCAAGGCACAAGGCTGTGCCACAAAGTATGTACGGCAAAACTGGAAAAACCTCTGCTCTTGGTGACAGCAGTACCCTTTCTATCTTCCCCTGAGCTTGGGGAAGCACACTCACCCACAGCCTCCCTGGGAGCTGGAGCTGGTGCTCGGCACCTTCGCTGTCCTCTCACTGGGACTGAGTTCTGGTCCCCGGCTCCTGCCATCTCTGGGTTTGAAGAGGAGCTGGTATCTTGGAGCAGAGCACCATCTGGGCTTTGGGAGTTTGCAGACAGCTGGAGGAAAGAAAGACCACCTGAACCACTGCAAAGTCCCACACGTTACCCAAGCCAGCCAGCAGCAGGGGGGGCACGGTCAATGCATCCCTGCTCTGCCCCAGAAACTGAAGAGCAGCAGCCAGGGCAGGAGCTTAGACAGCATAAGGCACCGATTGTTACCAAACTTCCCTGAGGTGAGACACTGCCATCCTCCAAGTCAAGTCACACAGCACAGGAAAACGGCACTGGAAAGCTTGAAGCCCACAGAACTCACTTGGAGAAATCACTAGCAGAGGGTGAAATCCAGGCCCTTCATCAGGACAAAAAGAAGCACATTCCTTCCACTTGCCCTGAGGCTGCGGATGGTGCCCGAGACAGATGCTGGCACCAACCGGCGAGTGCTTGGAGAGTCACCACCAACCAGCCCCCATCCAGTGAACTGCACCAGGGCCGACTGCCGCACCGCGACTGCACCGAAAGGGATGGGAGAGCAGGATGAACGTACGCATATCACAAGCCAGCAGAGCAGCAGTATCTGAGCTCGTGGTGGGTTCAGAGGCAGGCAACACTAACCGGCTGTGAAACAACATTCCAGCTCAAGCTCTTTCCACGTGGCTCTCCAGTCACTGTCTTCTAGGATCGTCGCAGAACACAAGGAGAAACAGGTCCTAGAAACAAGCACACCCTCACAGGCAAAGGGGAAGACAGAGGAAAAGAGGGAAGCAGGTTGCAGCAGCAGATTCCCTCCCTAAGCACATCTCTCTGTCTCACCCTGCAGCGGCACATGGGCAGCAGAGGTTGGATAGATTACAATGCATACCAGGAGGAAAGATCATCCTGCTACCACTGCTCCCGAGTCAAAAGCCTTGCAGCAACACAGCCAAAGCCTGGCCAACGACGAGAAGACCAGCAACAGACTCCCCGCCATGGCTGTTAAAGGATGCACAAGGCAGGTCCCACCTCTTCCTGGAGTGGTGGATTTTGCCCTGGGGAGCAGCGATGCCTCACTTACTTTGCAACTGAGGTGACAAATGTGATCTGCTGCTGAGTGGGCGCCCTTCATTTTTCTCTTCCCTTCCCTTTGCCAGCAAGGCAGAACAGTGGAAATTCAGCCCTCCTTCCCTGGGGAAAGGGGGACTATTCCTACAGCAGGGAGGCTGGGGTCTGAGCAGATTTCCCAGCTCTGATCTCAACCAGCTGCTCAAAGGTGCTCCATGCACTCAAATCTGACTTAGGGTGCAAACCGAGACCCAGCCACCCGGCTGAAATGTACTACAGTCCGTCACAGGCAGCCACCGTAAGGCTCTTCCTTGGAGAGGGGGAGCTACAGAAACACATTAGATTGCTTGCTCCAAGCCATTATCTAGTGCCACTGCCTACAGGAAAGATTACGGCTATGCAAATCCTACTCCGATAACCTATTCCACACCAAACCACTCCTCATCAGGCCTCAGCCTGAGCAGGAACACTCAGCCTCCGCTGGCCAAGCAGGGCCCACTCCACTGGAGTCCTTGAGGAAAGACAGTGTCAGCAGAAACCTGCCTTGGGGTCCACAAAGCAAAGCTTCATCGGCAGGACAAAGGAAACTTCTTCGCTCGGCCTCAGCAAGGAGCAATGGGAAGCGACCACTGTGCAGCAACACAGCACTCAAAGCCACATCTCCTACCTCCGGAGCAATGCTTGCTAAATAACTGCACCTACTGCGGAAGGCTTTCCCGGTGTCTGTCTTTTAATATTCCAGCATAGGTATGTTAGTACAGGATTATCCCTCATTCGGAAGCACCAATTTAATAGGGGAAGAAACGGAGGAGGCAGAGCACTTGCAATGTGTTGCTAGAAGAAAATCAATCCAACTGCCACCGATACACAAGATGTCCACGCACGCGCTGCATCCGCCACATGAGCATGGGGCAACATCCCCATTCACAGCTGGGCTCACTGTTGAGCTCTACGGGTCGTGGTTCTACCTCCCTCAGCCAGTGCTTTCCTTTGCTCTGAGGTGGCTTTCTCCAGAGGTCTCTGGGGCATCCTGTGAAGGGAGACTGGTTTCTTGGGCAGTTCTCAGATTGGCTTGCTGGAAGGCACAGGCATCGAGAAACACGCCGGGAATGCGGTCACCAAAATAAAGCTTGCTGTTCGCAGCTATCGCTTGGTATTTCATTAGTTCCAGATACTCAGGGGTAAGTTTCAGCTACAAAAAGAGAAATCATAGATTGTAAGAGACAACCTTCTCTACCCTTAGACTTCACCTTAGGCAGCTCCTTCCTGGGATACAGGCTGTTAAATCAAGTGTTTTTCCAGTGCTGCCCACCTGACCCTAATATGTGCAGAAGAAAAGAGTAAGCCAAGTCCTCTTCTGAACAACTCTGAAGTGCTCACCTTGTTGGAATCTGCCAGCTTCTGAGCGGTGTAGTACTCTGCATCAGCTTTTGCTTTCTCTCTTGCCAGGAACGCAGCATCTAACAGAGCAAGAGAGGATGGACAGGAAAAGAAGCATTAGCAATGGAATGGCCACATCGCATCAAAGCACCCGAGCCACAGCGTGCCAGTGACACAGCCGTGCTGCTGGCTCCTTGGAGAGGCACCTGCAAAACGGAGGAATGACCCCAGTGCATAACCTTGCGTTACTGCACCCTTTACAAATTTCTGCGGGACGGTGATGCCTGCAAGCCCAGTTCTGAGGTTTCCCTACCCACCACCACCCTTAGCTGGAAGATGACTCCAGGAGCATCATTACCTTCAATCTCAGAAATGCGCTTCTCTGTCTCCTTCTCCATGATCTTCTGCTGATAGTGAATCCTGGCCACCTGAGCAGCCTTCTCTGCCTCTGCAATCACAGCAGGCTCAGCTCAGACATTTGCTTCTCAGGGCTTGAGCACCAGCACCCTGATCCCAGCACCCAGTTGCAGAATCTGCCACAGAAATAGTTTGCTCTCTGCTGCCTCCCTTTCTGCTCGGATACTACAGTGCCCGTTTGTACTGCAAGCAACGCAGAGAAAGAAAATATAGTGCTGATGTTTCTGGAGTTGCCCTGGCTGACATCCCTTTTACAATTCTCCCTGGCACAGGGACACTTAGCTTCAAGCCCACACAGTTTTACTGACAGAAGTGTTACCTCCTCGCCTGCTGTAGCAGGAGCCCCACTGTTAAGACAGAGGGGTTCAATGATCTGGTGCTATGGGGAGGGAGGTGGGATGCAGATGCAGCAGCACAAACACTCGTATTTTCTAAATGACTGATTGTGTAGCCTGGTTGTGCCTCCCTTCAGATTGCTGTCCTACAGACAATGCCCTATCTCAGCTTACTGAAGGATTTAGGAATGGAAATTTAGTCTGGCCCCTGCCTGCTTGTACTCCCAACTGGTACCATACCAATGAGCGCCTTCTTCCGGTCTGTCTCTGCCTCCTTCTCTACCACCTTCTGCTTCTGGGCTGCAATCAGTAGCTTGGTCTTCTCAGCCTCCCTGCAGGGTGAGAAACGTTCACAGAGAAATGGAGCTGGAGAACAGCTCTGGAAACCGGGGCCTGAGAGGCCAAGGGGACAAGAAGCCAACCAGTTTGCCAGCATGAAGTCTTCAAGCATGATGTCTTCACAGCCACAAAGATCAGTTCTGTCTTCAGCTGTGTAAGCCAGCAGGTCAAATGAAAGGGATTATTCCCCCTTTCTATTTAGCACTGGTTGGACCACATCTGGATGCTACAGGCAGTTTGAGGCCCTCAGGAAAAGAAGTGAATCCAGCGCATGGCTACTGCAGATCTGGGGTGGAGGCCAGGGTGTAGGAGGAGAGGCTGAGGGAGCTGGGCTTGCTCAGATGGAGATGAGGAGGTGAAGGTGGACGCAACAGCATCTGCCACTGCCCAAGGGAGTCCCAGAGACACCAGGGCTGGACTCTGCTTGGGAGGCACAGTGACAGCCCCAGAGGCACTGGCACAGCTACAACACAGGGAATCCCAGCCAGCCCCAAGGAAACAGCCCCTCTCCATCCAAGCGGGGGCATCTCTGGCCCAGGGCCCGGAGACGTTGACCCTGCTTTGGGAAAGGGCGTGGAGAGTAGATCTCCATGGGTACACATTAGACTAAAATCTGCCTGTCATTCTGTTAGTTTGGTGGAGTGGGGCTGATGGGCAAGACATCAAAATCCCTGAGCCCTGAATTCAGTCTACAAATCTTGTACAGATTCTCCATAGCACATCAGAGTCCCCTCTCCAGCAAAAGAGTAGGAACACAGCCATGGTATGGACCTCTGTACATGCTAACAACTGTCTTTGCCAAGGGCTAAAAGGCTTCAAGGTGAAAACTATGGAAATGGAGAGGAAGAATGCACAAAGTGTACTGAGCCAAGCACACAGTGACTAGAACCCACCTCTCACCTGAGAACCAGGTATGAGCTTTCTAATAGCCTTATGCCTGTGTTGGACTCTCAGTTCATACTAATTCATACAATTTTATGTACAGATACTTACATTAGCTCAAAATTTCTTCGGATGGCTTCTGGGATTTTGGGTTTTGTAACACGCACAGCCTATGAAAAAAAAAGTGAGTGCCATTTTAAACATTTGGACACGTGCTGCAAAACTAAGCAACGTCTTTGCAAAACCAGGTGTAGCACTCTAGACATCTCCACGTTGATCAAAGACCACACATAACCATTTCCAGTCCTCTTGCACAATACAGCTGAGCACAGCCACTCTCACTGAAGTCCTTTGCATTTGTATTTCCTGCCTTTGCACTTTTCCTGCACCTAAACAACCAAGTAAGGCCTGTGGAATAGACTGCCACAGAGGTTCTAACCACCTTTGTCAGAACCTTAGTTCTCCACCCTAAAGTCTTCAAATATCACCACACAGCACTTCCTGAAGCATTGCTCAAGAAAAGGGCTAAGAAATCGTACGAAATTAAATTGAAGAAATGAGACTTGCAGAAGAGATGAGCTCACAAATGGATTTTTCAGGACAAAAGCTGGAGACGCTTGTGAGTTGCAAAAACAACATGGCAGGGAACAAGCAATCCAGGAGATTCCTGGAATGCACTGACGACAACTTCCTTATCCAAGTGATAAGAGGAATCAACGAGGAGAGGTGCCATGTTAGACCTCATCTTTGTCAATCAGGAAGGGCTGGTGAGTAATGTTAAACTCATGGCTGCAGTGACCGTGAGATGATGGAGTTTGAGATCCTAAGGGAAGCTAACAGGGGGAAGCTCAGCAAGCTTGAAATCCTTGATTTCAGAAGAGCTGACTTTCACCTCTTCAGGAACCTCCTTGGTAGTGTGCCATGGGATAAAGCCCTGGAGAGACTGGGAGCCCAAGAAAGCTGGCTGACTTCCAAGGATCATCTCCTCCAAGCTCAAAGGCATTGCATCCCTAAAAGGGAGAAATCAGGCAAAACCACCAGGAGACCTATATGTTAAAAGGCTGGCACAAGGTCTCCCTAAAGCCTTCTGTGTCAAGCTGAACAACCCCAACTCTGCTGCTTCTCTGAACAGGCAAAGAAAGCAGATTTATGGGACATCAGACCAGAACATTCGCCTACTGAAGTGAAAGGATTTCTCCAAGGTCCTACCAGAAGCAAAGCCTCTCCAAGCCGCTAGGAAAGTACCACATGCAAAAAGCTCACCTCATCAGCCAGAATGCACAGGGGGATATTCTTTCTACCTTTGTTAACACGCCTGCATCAAAACAAAGATTGGTTTCCAGAACTGTGGCTTTTCTGATACGGGCAAAGATTCCTCTGTAATCAGGAAAGTCGCCAGGTCTTTGAAAATCTCCACTAGCTGCTTCTTTTCCAAGTCAATGGCTCCGTCTATTTAATGGTGAAATCTGCTAGACGGAAACACTACTGTGCACTGTCAGTAATGCTAATAATCAAATGTCGAGGCATTGGGGCACGCTGGGACTAACTTTTTACAGAAAAAGAGCAGGAAGGAATCAAAAGACAAGCTGACTGTACAGCAACATCTTTTCCCTGCGGCCATGAAGTCCAGCCCCATGCTGAGCTGCACTGGCAAAAGCCCAGCAGTAAGCTGAAGATAGTTTTTAGGTCTCTCTACTTGGCACTGAGGAGGCTTCATCTGGATACTGGCATCCAGTCTGGGGAACCCCAGTATAAGTGATACCAACAAACGGGAGAGTGCAGCGCCACTGCGACAGCCACGTAAACATTGCAGAGAATGGGAAAAGGCTGATGGTATGGTGGTACTTCTTTCCTGTTGATCCTTCTCTTTAAAAATGGGTGTGACATTTGCCTATTTCCAGTTATTAGGGACCTCCCTTAACCACTGCCATCCTTAAAAATAAGAGAGTGGCTTCAGAATGGCACATGCCAGCAACTCGGCACCCTTGGATGCATCCCACCCAGTTCCACAGACTGCTGTGTGTTCATCTGTCCAACTGTCCTCTGCTGCGGATAATGTTTCACCTCTGCAGCCTTTGCTGTCTGTGTAAGGAACAGGGAGGCCTAAGTGCCGACATTGCCAGAAAGAAGTCAAAGAAGGCGTTAAGTACTTCAGCATTTTCCATATCCTTGGTCACTACGTCCCCTGCTTCACAGCTTCCTTTGCCTTATTTGTGCTGTAGATGAACCTCGGAAGTCCTCTGTGTTGCCCTGCAAAGCCACCATCAGCTACAAGTCTAGCTGTGCTTTTTCTTCCTAGCTCTGTCCCTGCACTCAGCTCCACAAACGTTACTCCTCCCAGCTCACCTATACCTATGACACCTTTTGCAAGTTTTATTTTTGCTTCCTACCTCGGTCAGGAGCTCCTTGTTAGAATCACAGAGAATGCAACGGGTTGGAAGGGACCTTTAAAGGTCATCTAGTCCAGCCTCCCTACAGTGAGCGGCAAGCTTGTTCATCCATGCTGGGCTCCGATCTCACCTGCTTGATTTTCCACACTTGGGAATCCTTGACAGTGAAGTAGGGCCTCCTAGCCAACTTTGGTGACCACAGCAGTCTCCCATTGGGGGACCCTGCCAAGTGCATCTCAGACAAACTGAGTTCTGTCCTCCTTAAGCCCAGACCCATTCATTCTCCTGTTCATCTCACTCCTCTGAGGACCCTGAACTCACCAGCTTACAGCTGCTACAGCTCACACCGCTACCACACTTCACCTCTCAATCAGTTTTAATTTGTTTCTAAAAGGTCCAGCGTACCATATTCTCCAATCAGCTTTGCTCACCAGTGCCAAAACTTGTCTTCAGCACCCTTCAGAAATATCCAGCATGGCTTGCACCCAGCTCTACTGCCCTTCCAGCGGACATCGAGGCAGTCAGAGACCCCCATGAGTACTAAAGGCTGGGATCATACAGCTTCCTCTGGTCTTCTGCAGGCAGCTTTACCCATTTTAATGGGTATCATTTTAATAATAGGGTGGTCTGTGGCAGAGGAGGACCATGCTCTGACTCTTACCTATGTTGGCTCTTACCTCAGCTGTTTATCACCCATCCCAAAGCAAAGCTACACGTGACCTGAGCCACTCCTTTGTGGACAGCACAACCCGACTGCCTCACATTCTCAGCCCGTCCTCCCTAGAGAGCCTGTGTGTACCTACAGTGGTGCTGCACTCGCACGAACCAGCCCACCAGGCCCTGGGACTGCAAATGTGTGTGGATTTCCAGTTTCTCAGGTTTGTTTCCCAGGATGTGTGTGTTTCTGTCCAGACACCTGAGACAAGCTGCAGGGTGTGCTGCTTTCACAGTGAAAATGCAGGAGCCTCCCCTACAACACTGTCCTTAGACATTTCTTACCATCCACTGGCCTCCACTTTTCCAGTCAGGAAAGAAAGTCTTGCAACTTAGAGGACTTGTGAAGGTTTCAAATACGCTGAGTAGTTTTAATAAACCTAGGATTAAATGCTGTTAATTTCATCTAACAGTAACTCTTCAGTAATTGTTTTCTGCGTCACTTGTCAGTGATCTCTCAAGTACTCAGGTGTGCAAACATGCTCTTCAAAAACAAAGCACTACAACCAAACACAGAATTATTTCCCTTAAGAGATCGCAGAACAATTAAATTCTAGGTACAGTTTAACTCGTCTGGATTATACAGCCACATGTGCAGAATTTAAAGAAAGCTCAGCTCTTCACTGAAGGAGCAGGGTATTTCCTGGTAAGAGACACAGCAGAGCTCTATGCTGGGGTGCAATTTTACTGGAGACAGAAGAGCAGCTGTTTTGAAAGGAAGCAACAAGAACACACTGTTTCTTAAGTATAAGAGATGAATCACTTTCCACATTAACTACAGGACCTCTTAAAATCAGTGGTCCTGCGAACTCTGGCTGGGCTGACAGAGGCAGGGAACCTTCCAACTTTTGTCCAATAGTGAAGATTTGGCAGGGTGAGTGGCATATGCTGAAGATCAGGTTTATCTCTGCAGTTAACAGCTCCCAGCAGAGAGCTGTGAGCTTTACTTACCCTCCTTCCGTACCCTGGAATCAAAAAGGGTCTTTACATTACGATAATAATTTTGATTGATGAAGAGCTTTTGTGCAAAATCTCTCTGTGAAGTACTTGGATATTTGGAAGAGCAGTGCCATCTCAGTGGTTTTTGTGCTAAGACACTGACTGTGGATCGCCCTCATCAAAACAGAGCAGGACTATGCACAAACGAGCCACAAAACAGAACAGTGTTTATCACAGCATTAGATGTGCTGTGAACAGGAAGTTTTCCTCCCCTGCACACAGGCAGCCAGCCTAGCGAGATGTGGCAATAAGAATGGCAAAACAAATTTGGTCTCACTCTTCAGCACAAATCTCCAGAGACTTCCATCTTAGCCCTTGTGAACCTAAGGTGTATTTTTCCCAGTTGGTTGCCCTGATATGCCAAAAAGCCAGTATGTCACATAGCCTGGCTAAGATTAAACAGGATTTTCTAACATTAAGCACAAGAAGAAAATCACATAGGATATAACATCTTTGCCTTCCTCTGGTACGAGCACTGAAAAGATGATCTCTCTTTTGATTACCTGCAGGAACTATGATAGCACACTGGAGCACCCAGCTCTGCAGGGGTGCCAAAAGTACTTTAAAGGGAACAATTTTCTTGCTCTTTACAAATTAAATTCAATACCTGCAGGTTTGCGGCCTAAAAGCTCTTTTCTCTATCCTGCAGCTCTTCCTCTAACATAAACCCGGTGTTTAGAAATGATCACTGGCAAGTGATCCTGCTCTGGCAGGGGGAGTTGGACAAGATGATCTTTTAAGGTCCCTTCCAACCCCTGACATTCTGTGATTTGGGGACAGTCTTCAACCAACAAATCCCAACTCAAGACTCAACTGTTTCACATTATGTCAAAAACAGAAACAAGAAACCTCATCAATCTAGTGCGAGGCGAGCAAATTAGAGGCGGAATAAAGAATAATCTTTGTTAGGGAATGAACTTACCTGAATAGTGAGACCTGGTGCCATGAGATTGAGATCTTTCTGCAGGGCCAACTTCAGATTCTCATCTATCTGATCTGTGTTTGGAGGACAAGAGAGACACCACTTAGCCTATTGTCTTTGTTCTCACGCTTGTGAGGCAGAGTAAGCTGGAGCTGAAGAGCAGGCTTCTCTATGGTGCAAGGATGCTTTCTGCGATAACTCAGTACATTATCTGCCCTCCCATGCCTCCTGGAAAATGTTCCTGAAAGGAGAGCAATGTGCTAGTGTCTCCAGAAAGGTTCAGCTATTGAGGAACTCCCGGTATCTAAAAGCTTAAGGGTAAATGGCATTCAGCATCTCAGCAAGAAAAAGCACTCAGAGCCTGCAGGAGAAGTCTATCCCTTCCTAGCTAGAGAAACACCAACCCTGCTGCCTTAAGTCTTGAGTGACCTACAGAATCCAGTACCTGCTACCAAAAAAGTACGTTTTGCCACCTACAAACTCCAGGAAGATCTTCCTACAGAAAGGATTAAGCTGCGCGTACTACCAGGAAACTCCGACTACAGACATTTGGCAAATCTGACAGACTCTCCGACTATAGACATTTGGCAAATCTCCTCTCCAACTACAGAATTCAGAGATTTAGTCTCTTTAATTACTAAAACTCTTATAATCTTTTCTCTCCCACAAACCCACTTTTCTCTGCTCTGCCACTCAAGAAGAAACGTCATACTGTTATACCTTTGGGGGCACAGGTAGTTATCAAGAACTAGAACATTAAACTTGCTGATTACTGGAACACTGCTACACCCTTGTGAAGACCTGCAAACGCGTTCCTTCCAGCTCTCACTTTGTAAAAAAAAAAACAAACCCCAGAAGGAAGCTTTCAAAGTGAAAAAGTAAATTAAACAACAGAAGTGAGGTCTAAAAGTAGTAGACAAAATCATCATCATAGAGAAGGCAATGGGAATGATTGCACGTCCAAGTGCAGAGTGACTACTTTGTGCATCCAGAATTCAGTCCCAAGTTGAAAAGGATTGACATCAAGTTCCCAGATGTGGGGGACGGCAGCTGGACTGCTGATAACCTGGCATTGGTTGAAGACATTGACCTTGACAAATTCCCAGTGTACCCTTAAGATGGGAAGTTGTGAGTACTGAGTTTGGACACGTTTGTGGAACTTTCTCCCTCAAGATCCAGGGGGGTGAGCCCAGCCAGAAGCTGCTAATTGTTACCCAATTAGAATGTGAAAAACAAGTGTTTGACCTATAAGCAAAGGCCACGCTACCTTCTTCTAGTACCTTCGGCTACGTATAAAAGACACACCCTTTGTGTAATAAAGCAGCCATTTTTGAGCCATTTTAATCACCACTCAGATCTGTCGTGTCCGTCTCTACAACGACACCCAAATGCAGATGTGGAAAGAAATCTGAATCATTAATGAGTAAAGTTACATGAGGAGTGGCATATTAGGAGCTGGATTCTAGACTGCAGCTCCAGCACAGTGGCTGTTTGCTCCCAGGAGCTTGCTGTAACATATTCCACAGCAGAAGAGGGAGACGACGCAGCCCTTGGTAGGTTCATCCAGCCGCCATCCACTCACCAAACAGTTCAATGTATACTTCCTGTAGGGTATGGGCACTGCAGAACTGATTCAGCTCATGATGAATTTTGTTGAAGATCAAGGTCTTATCGTAGTCCGCAGTGTAGTTTCTCACAATATCATACACTGAGGAAGTAAGAAAACGATCACAGGTCATCACTGACACATACTGTTTTCTGCAAAGCCACAACCCCGAAACAACGGCTCCAAGTACGAGGGAAGTGGAGCAGCAGTAGGGCAGGGGGGTGGGGGATCTCCTTCCTTGGGACTTTCCAGGCCTTGGCTGGACAAAGCTGTAGCTGCCCTACCCAGCTGTTGGTAAGAAGCTACGAGTGGGAGGGAGATCAGAGGAGAAACCTGCAGAGGTCCCCTCCACCAGTGCTAATGGGATTATGAGACTTCAAAGGGCAGAGCAATTACAGAAAGATACAATGTATGGTCTTGTTTTATGATCTGCAGAAATAAATGAGAAACAGTAAAGCCTGTCCAGGACCTGTATGCACAGGAACAGGCACAGCGGTACGGAGTGAAAATCAAATATCATTCCCACAATTGCAACATGAATTCACCCTTCAATGTCTCGGTAACACGAGCGTTCTGCACTAAGCAACGTTGTCGGAGGAAAAAAAAAAGCTGCCTTTTTCTGGGTGTTTGGTTTAGCAGCTGGTGAAATAAGAAGGTAGGAGGCTCCTACATGGGCTCTGCCTTCGTAATTTTTTCAGGAGCTGAGCTAGCAAGCACCTGGGGACTTTGCTTGGTGTATTTAGTTTCACCTTCAGCAGCAAGAAACAGGATTGTGCTTGAGCACCCATCATATTTCTAAACATACAGGGGAGAAGTAATCCTAGGATTTATCTTAATATTTGCAAATCTGTGGCAGTTTGAAAAGCTGGCAGGCACAAAACTAAGTCCTATGGTACTGGGAACTGTAAGGATAACAAGACACAGAAAATGAAAGTCTTGCAAACCAGGACAGAGCTGCTACGGGATGAGTGAAGACAGTCACAGCGCTGCTTGTAGCAACAGGACGGGAAATACCTGCGTACGGTGCCAATTTATTCACAACTTCTATTCGGTCGATGTAGATCATAACGCCGCCACTGCAAGTGAAAAAGAGCATTCACAAATGATTGCTGCAACTGTAAACAGTCATCCACATTTAAAGAAAAGTGGTCTTTATCCCTATTTTACAAAACTTTACTAAACTTACCCAGAACAATTCCAACTTCATTTTGCAATTAGATGGCAGCAAACCCCAGTCTTTGCACAGGCTGGTCCCTCTCTTTCCATAAATCAAAAGCATGCTCCAGCAAGTCTGCAAAGCCCTTTTGCTTCACTTTGTTGTCTCCTACTTAGCCAGCAAAAGCAAAACGTTTTTGAACAGGAATGTAGCTGCAAATATCAGAATGGGGAGTCCAGCCCAAGGAAGGGAAGGGGACAAGGAAAGAAGATGACATCTGCAAGCAGCAAAGCTGTCCACATGACACTGGGGAAAAGCAGAAACTCCACAGTGAAGAAAAAAAATTATTTTTCAACAGCTCCCGAGTATCTCAAGAGTGTATTTTTAAAGCACAATGCTCTTGCAATTTTATCCTTGGGGCAAATGCAAATCACAAATGGGAAACTGTCTGGAGACAGCTGTTCCCTAGAGCGGCCCTCCCACATTTTCAGACTTAGTCTCTCTGGTGTTTTAATTCAGACATATCCTTCGTGACAAACTTGGTTTCCTCTTCTGCAGATCTTAACCTCTGGCAGTTGAAGGCTAAGTCTGCAGAAAAATCACCTCAACTCGCCCATGTCTGCATTTTTCTTAGAAAACGGTCTCCCAGGCACAGCCTGCGTTCACTCTGCAAACCTGTCAGGTCATGGCAAGCTACAAACGCTGGTGACGGACTCAACTTGTCTGCTGGAAGGGACAAGCCAGCAGAAAAGATATTTGTGGCTAAAGAAAGACTTATTTCCCAGTGAGATATTACTATTAAGAGTATTAATCTCTTTTTCACTCTCAGTTTCTTTTTAGGCCATGATAATTCTCGCTGTCTCTCTCAAGAACTGTTACTACAATTTTTAAATAAGATAAGCTTATGGATTCTTTACAGTTATGTCAGGCTGCACAAACAGTTATAATGGTCTAGTGTTCTTAATCATCTCATCTGTTCTGTACTCTGAACCACCACATCCAAGAAAATGACTATTTATCACTGCAGGTGATATCCAACTCAGGATCTTCTCATTCTCCTCTTTTGTTCCAGTCATCTCATGACATCTGCACCAGGACACAGAACCCAAGATGGTAGCTGGGTTTATCTTCCAGACATCTTGGTGAGGAACCAAAGAAGAGTGGAAGAAGCCCACACGCTCCTGTCTCCCCTACTTTAGGTTGAGGTCCTTTTGGCATTTCAGTTTTATGGGGATGTTAGAAGGAAAAAAGAGAGCACCTGAGACAACCTCTGCCTACTACGCAAGACTCACAGTCCCTATTACCTCATACCCAGGAAAGGCTGGCATCTCACACCAGAGAGGTCTGCCTGCTGCCTCTCTGTCTCAACCAACATTGCCCACAGCAGCCCTGCCAAGGATGTCAACCATAAGTGAATTATATCAGTCCTGCCGGTCAGGCAACAGCTTCAAGGAAACAGTTGTCCCTCAGAGCCCAAATACACTCCTCACTGAGTGGTTAAGGTTACAAAGCAGTTACACGGTGTTTCCCAGCCAGCCAGCTGCCGGAGCCATCATCATTTCACATCGTGCAGTGGGGATGGCCTTCTGGACCTTGCTGCTGTAAACCCAGTAGCCAAGCTGAGCTTTAACACTGATCTTGGGAGTCAGCATCTCAGGCAAGACCTCCTCTCAAAAAGCCTGGTCTGGAAGATGTCAGTAAACTCCTGGGGTGCAGGAGACACTGTGCTTGGCAGCCTGGGGCAGTAAAGCACCATGCACCGATTTGGGGCAATTCACACACCCCACTGACCTGGAACTGTACAAAACCTCTCATCATGCACAGCTGCTCTACCTGCCCTTTGACACCCGCAGCCAAAACGCTGATTCAAACTCTCTCTCCACTTCAAGAAGCCACTGCCATTCTCAAAACACCCGTGTTTGCCAAAGCCTGCTTCTTGCCAGATGCAAGACGGGGTGGCTACCACCGGGAGGCTTGCAGTGCTTGCAACTCCGCACTGCAGTTCCTGCATCTTCCCCAACACCAGCATTTGCAGCCTCGCCAAGGGCTACTTGCACGCCCCCAAAGGTCCTCACTGCAGGGCTACTCAGAAAGCTGGTTTGGCAGAGCAGGCTCAGGGAGAGCAGAACAAGAAGAAATCTATAGGAAGTCTGAAAGGAGGATCAATATGTTGACTTCGTGCACCTGGGAGAAGTTTTAAGCATAATTAGACAGCAGCACTGCCTAACTTGATAGGACAAGGTGAAAGTGTAGAGGGGATGTTACAGCAGACTAACATACACCAGCAGGCACTTCCGTAGACCTTAGAGACTCTCATGTATTTAAGGATTTTAGCTTATGCCAGGAGGAGACGAGCTAAAAACTGAAATATGTTGCCACAGGAAAAAAAAAAAAAAAGAAAAAAATTGCTAGAACTGACCACAAACAAGGCCAGACCAGGTTAAGCAATCAGGGCATGTAAAACTTAGGCTTAAAGGTCAGATCTGGTCTGTCTAGAGATACAAGCATTAATGCAATACATCTATTTGCTAATACTCGTGACACATTTTTCCACATGACTGGCTAGCAAAAAGGGATCTGTCCCAGAACAGCACTCCTCCAGCACTCCAACAATCTGCAGCACCGGCACAGGACAATCCTCACACCTCTGCAGATAAACATCTAACGTCCAAGCAATATTACTGCTTAGCGTCCTGGCTATTTACTGTTCCTGGCACTGTAAAAAAATATACAATATTTAGCGCGATTATTTCCAGTTAAATCTGTAAGAAAAAAATGCTATTTAACCTAATTCTCTGATCCGCTATTTGCACGACACCATTTTCAATCCATTTATTATGTTCCACAATTAATATGTGTGTGATTGTATTCATTTTTGATGAATTCTTCGAGTCAGTCCTTTGGAATACTTTGATCTTCTAAAACTAGTTTATCGAACAGATTTTTCACCAGTTTCTGGAGATCAGCAGACGTTCCCTGAGGAAACTGTTGACCTTTCCAAGGAACTGCAAACACAATTTCTTCTTGGGAATCAGAAATGTCATACAGCAGAAGCAATTCAGAGCTTACGACAGATACATATTTCATCTGCTGTAATGAAATGGGTTTTGTCTCTAAGGTGACAGCTGTTTTACGAAAACCAGTCATCTGGTGCCAAAGTATTTTAAAATCTGTACTTAACGTATTCACTTAATACTGTCAGGTACCAATGGGACAGGTAAGGTATTGGGGATGCATCTCCCACACAGCCACGCAGAAGCTTCCTGATGTAGATGAAAATACAGGGAACAGGAATATGAATATGGTGGAAGAGATACCCATCCTTTAAAATTGGATGGCTTAATATACAATCACGGAAATTTAAACTGCTTAAGATCTATACTTGTAATGAAGTTCGAACCAGGACAGAGACGTTTCGGATTTGATCCAGTTGTTATCTGTAAGCTAATGTTTTATTATGGATATGTGGAGTCAAAGCTTTGGCGTGGCACAGCTGCAGACTTTGGATCCGAATGCAGCAAATTTAAAGCCTCCTGCAGCAATACCGTAAAAATGGACCTTTGGTTTGAACTGTATTCAATTATTAACTAAGAACTGCTTCACAAGCTGGCTGGTGTTCTAAAGTATGTTTATTACCTGTTAACTTCACAACCACCTGTATTGCACAAGCGAGTCCCGCAACGGTGAAACGTAACAGGAGCTCGGTGAACTAACCCTACAGAACTAAACAGTCTGGAGCTCCTAAATCACTGATGCACAGAGTTGCACGGGCTGGCAGGGACCTCTGGAGATCATCTCGTCCAACCTCCCTGCTAAAGCAGGGCAAAAGCAGTGAGGGAGCCCAGTTAATGTGGGAAGCTTTGCTTGATTTCTTGACACCTGCAAGAGAGCAGGACACCACCCCGGGCCCAGGGATGCAGTGCTGTTTTACGCTAGGTGAAGTACTATTTATGCTTTTCATGAGCTAAAAGTTGCCACTGAACACATCACTAAAGCTCTGCTCTGACAATTTATTTTTAACCACATCGCTTAACAGACACAGATACGGAACATCATGAGTCTTGCTCCTCCTTCCTACAATTACTTTTCACTAGACCTTAAGATTCCTCACCTGACCACAAAGCCCTGACTGCAGCACTAACACCAGTATTATTTACAGACACTCCTGAAAGATGTTTGAGATCTAAAACTGAAACCAGCTACGGGTCACAAGAACTTGAAGTAATATTTAAGCCCAAGTGATGACTGATGAGTTGCTACAGGAATAATTCCAAGAACATGTTTCAGTAAGGGCTAAATCAGATCAAAATGATCTCTGTTTCATTAATGCAGCCACTAACATTCAACTTTTAATTTCAACATGATTACTATGTCTCACCATTCAAGAAATACTTTTTCTTTAAAAAAAATATAATTGCTGAGTACCAGTTTTGTTCCTATCATGAAGAAACACTTGGTCGTCACTTTAACTTGTGAATGAATCAACACAACAGGATCTGCAACCCAACTCAACTTGCCCTCTCCTGTTCTGCTCTGCTTATTAAAACTATCTAGATCCCTGCTGACAAAGAAAGCGTCAGCTTAATCATGAAGCAGGCAAGTGCCACCCACGCATAGGATTCCTCTTTATTCTTTCTCACTCTCTCTTTACATCAGGTGAAACGTCCATTCCAAAAACGTCCAAGCAATTCCAGGAGACTCACTTTCTTGAGCCGTTTTTGAAACGAACCATCTCCCACCAGGAGGATTCCCATTCGCTGCTTACTTTTGTCCACTGCTGGGGTCAGCACTTGGATTACCCACAAGATTCAGACTAGAAATGCCGCAAAATAGAGAGCAGACCAAAGCACAAGCAACAGGTGACCACAGTAATCAAGGGAAGAAAACAAGAAAAATCAAGGTATTCATCACTATAAATGCAAACATCAATTCCAGTAAAAGCAAGAGCACTCCCTTCCACACCTCTCTCTCTATTACTTCCAAGTGCACATGTGCATGTTTGGGACTAATTTTTGTGTACGTGCCTCTGTGTCACGGCACAGTAAATGACTGGCTGCAAACTACAAGATAGAGCGCATCTGCTCATCACCGAAAGAAATACCAAGGGCAAACATACCTTGTCCCACAAGGCACGTTTTTCACTTCATCAGTCTGCAATGTGGTCTGAAATAAAAAGACAACCAGTGCTCACAAAACCACTCCCTTCTTCAGGAAGAACATGCTGTACCCAGACTCTCACAACCATGACACAGGAACACAGAGCCAGAAACATACTCTCTGCTCCCCCCTCCCACCCCAACTTTTGCAGGTGTGGGCAAAAGACAGGCTTCTTTTCAAGTTCTGCCTTTTGGGAATAGAAAGGCAGCTGCTCCAGCCACCACCACCCAGCAATATCCCTACTGACATCTGCTCCCTCTTCCGAGATGAGAAGGCACTAACCTGCACAGATTTGAAAGTGGTAATGAACGGCAGCATGATGTGGTAGCCTGGTCCGCTCGGGCTGGTTAACAATGCACCACCCCTACAGAGAGAGAGGAAAACGGGGAAAAGGTTCAAGCAACTGGAAAACGGGGAGTGCTAGCTTTGAGACCAAGTACACCGGGACTGCCAGGGGTCACCTGCACCAAATCTACCACCAATTCCCCTACAAAACAGCAAACTGCATATACTTGCCTGCTGCAGCTCGGTAATCATTTGCTTCAGGCCTGGGAACAATTAACTTTTCAAGAAGACAGATTATTGCTAAATTCTTCCGTCGTTGCAACATTGTGGAGAGATTTGAGAAGATATTTTCCTCTCTAAGTAGTTCACTGGTAACCATGGAAAAATCCAGCAGTTGATGTGATGTTGTCAGTCTGGATTTCCACAAGGCATTTGGCACGGTCCCTTCCACAAAAGACAAACCCACTGGTTCTTGTGGGGCCCAGCAGGTGGATATAAGACAGAACTCTAAGCGACTGATCCTCGTAGTGCAGTAAGGTCTCCTGCAGCATCTCACAAGGGCCGGTACTGTTTAACACATTTTTAATTAAAGGGAAGAGTAGAGCACAGGGAAGCAGCCCATCGTGCTGAGCGCAAAGGGACAGGACAAGAAATATGGCAGAAACAGCAAAAAAAAGCAGAAAAGTTGGTGCTGAATTTCAAACTTGAATCAAAATCTACTCAAAAGATAGCACTCAGTGACTGTGACCACTCACTACTGTGGACTAACAATGAGTCACTCTACAGATACTATTCAGGGCAACTATGAGCCCCAGGAGACACTAAGCCCAGAGCCAGGAGAAGATCCATTTTGAAGCAAAAATGAAGTGGGTGCTCTGGCTGCCCAACGGTCCTAGGGGATGCAACAGCTCTTGATGTCAGGAGTACGACCAACGGACATGGAAAGGCTGGATGGACCAAGAGCTTTGGTTCTCCAAAGCTTTGAGATCTCAAACGTGGCCCAGAAAAGAAAGAAGAAAAATAGGTGAGGATGCAGAAAGAGCCAAACTTTTAATTGTTCTGCACAGAGCCAGGCTATCCGGGCCCACGCTGGCACAAGTGACCAGGAACTACGCGGTACCACATGGGGGCAAAACCTGGAGGGGAACACAGGAGAGAGCAATGCCCTCCTGAGCTGACTGGGGCCGAGGAGGAATCCCAGCTGAAAGGGAGACCCGGGGAAGGCTGCGGAGGCCGGCAAGGTGCTGGCAGATAACGGTACCTGTAATAC